GAATGTCCACCCGCCTAAAAAAGTCGAAGGTGCACGCACGAAATGTCAAGTCCCGTCGTCGGCCTGCCGGGAAAAAAAAAAAAGGCCGAGGTCCTCCTGAAAAAAAAAAAGCAGGAACCTTCTATCATTTTTTTCCCATGCTGCTCTTGTCTCTTGGCGGTTGCACCACGGCCCACGTTTGGATGAGTTACCGCTTTCAAACGGGATGCTGAGTTTCACTCCCATTAAAACAACAGGGGGCGAACCTAGCCACAATAGGTGGCAAGGTTCGCTCCCCACCTTTGAACTTCTGGAGCGCTTTGAATTTTGGCGCCGTCATCCATCTACGACACAACTTGTGCATGGTTCAGCAGCAGGGGGGAGGTGGTGGGGCGGCGAGGAGGGGGGCAACGCACCGACGGCCTGGCGAGCAACAACGCGGCTGCGAGCCACGCACTGACGGCCTGGGGAGCGACAACGCTGCTACGAGTGAGCAGCAGTCGAGCGCGCGCGCGCACACGAGAGAGAGAGAGAGAGAGAGAGGCAGACTCCACTTTTTCGCATCTCTCCACAAACACACTCCGATTCAGGCGTGAAATCCAATGCTAGAGAGAGAGAGAGAGAGAGAGAGAGAGAGAGAGAGAGAGAGAGAGAGAGAGAGAGAGAGAGAGAGAGAGAGAGGGGCAGGCAAGGCCGTGATGTGGGCGATTCCTGTGAGAGAGACAGAGAGAGAGAGACGTGGGCGATTCCTGTGAGAGAGACAGAGAGAGAGAGACGTGGGCGATTCCTGTGAGAGCTCTCTCTCTCTCTCTCTCTCTCTCTCTCTCTCTCTCTCTCTCTCTCTCTCTCAGAGTGTGTTTGATTTTGTCATGCCACATCATAATGTCCTATTGTCTGTAAATGTTCGAAGGGATAGACAATAGCGGGCACGGCCAGCTGCGGGTGAAAAGATACTGCATCCCGTGTGCGGGCGGGCAATGATTTTCTTGCGGGTGCGGGTGGGTCTGGGTGAACCATTTTTACGGGTGGCGGGTGGGTTGGGCGTGGGCGGAAAAATTCAAAACAATGCTTGGGTGGGTTGGCTCAGCTTCAAACCTTTTTTTTCTTTTTTTTTAAGGGTTGCATGTACTAAGAAAATTTTGGGTGGGTTGGGTGAAGTGGCATTTCAAAAAAAAAATGCTCATCTCTGGCCCAAAGTTTCTGCATACCTGAGTATTCCCTACTCATCTGCCCTGCCCGAGCATCTTGGTATCCCCTATCCCATTGAGCCTATCCCTTTCTTTTAAGCGCTATTAAAACCCTAGGCCCTAAACCCTCAACCTGTAGAACTTACTGTCCCTTCTGGGCTGGTTCTGTTGCCTTTGGGTGGTATAGGAGCCTGTATTCCTTGTACCCTAACTCCATCGTCCCCTGAGTCGACCTCGTCCATACTACCAGTTCTGAAATTCTGCATCCGATATGAGAGGAAAACTGGATGTCGCTTAGGATTGTACGGAAGCCAGATAAGCTTAACATAGCCTAATGATGATGATGGCACTGATGTGAAATCTATTGGTAAGGTATAAACTACATCAGCACAACCTACCCTCACACTCTATGAACAACTTCTAGCCTCCCCCCCAATACCAAACGCAAAACTCCAAAGACAGTATCATCCCAATCAATACCTACCATAGCTGACATGTTCTCACTACCTAGACAATACCTGGCCCCTTAGGTTGTCATGGCAGCTTCCCCCAATTCACCACTGGATTGTCATCCTCCCTCGGCGAATCCCCAGATCTCTCTACCAGGCCTCAAGCTACTGCCACAGCAGGCCACAGGGCTACACCCCAGCACCAGCCAGCGTCGTTCTGACGTCGGCTTGGCAAGGCGACAACTAGGATTCTACCATCTCTAAAATCCTACATCCGGTATGCGAAGAAACCCAGATGTCTCCAAGGATTTTAAGAATCCAGATAAGCATGGCATAGTCTAATTAAGAGATGTTAATGGATCTTTAGTACAGGTTACACCGAAGATTAACGAGGTCCCTTCTCTCCCCCCCCCCCACCTCTTCCCATCCTATCCCAACACTGCCTCCACCGGAACGGAATACCCAGATTGCAGGCAGCCCATCTCAGCCCCAACTTGGGATAGACCCACATTCCTTCCCCCTATCCCACAGAGCCATACAGTTCCCTCCCAAAGTATGCCTCTGCCCACCCTTTACCCTAATCTGCCCCCGCTGCAATGTGTACCCCCACCCCAACCCCAGAATAGGGCAACCCCCTAAATCTGCTCTATCTGGTTCTGCAAGTCATAAAAAGGTTTTTGTTGATGACCAAATCATAGTTTGGGCTAGCTCTCAGGTTTCCAGTGGGGATCTTCAAGCAGTGACTCAACCTGAGTTTCTAGGTCAAGCAGCCAAAGGCCACTTCGTTCTTTCTTCCATTTCGTGTGCAGTGTCCCAGTGGTTTTCCGCCTTTTTTTTATTTTCCTTGATGCATCCAGGGGGCCTGCAATCTTGCTGGTGATAAGAGTACTGGCATGATGTGATGCGTTGCGGGTGATCTTGGGCACAGGGTCCTTTTTGTGTTGTTTGAACTTGTTTCTGAAAAAAGAGGCATTGCGGATGATGACTCTGTTCCATTGGTGGCGAGCTTCACGTGCTGGAAAACGGGCCCAGCGTCCCAATGTCATACACAAGAGCTTACTGGACAATGACACAGCTTCGGTTGTACAGGCTTAGCAAGACATTATTAGTCACTTGGAAGAGAGACATCTCAGAAATTTGGACCCGTTGACAAGCTTTGATCCGGCTGTGGATAGCTCCTGTCTTATCCGTGGGAGCAGCACGAGCTGGAAACCAGGCCCATCGTCACATACAACAGTCATTACAATTTTTTTAGCTGACTGGGCAGCATTGATCACTCTGGACATTGCTAGAGGATTGAATGCCTGCCATTCATGCCTCCCTATCAATCTTTTCTCTTCTGGGGCTTCATTTCCTGTGTTTTCCTTTCCAGTTCATTGCCGCCCTCCCTGCCCTTCTCCAACTGCTAGCGTGACCGTTGTACTTGAGAAGCTTTGGAGCAGAAACTGCAGGAAGATCAAAGCACCAGGCAGCATGAAGCGATCGTCACGGACTACCAGCTTGTCTTCAAGGAATGGACCAAGGTAGATCCTACCGACCCTTTCCCCTTTCCTCACAACACCCTGGTCGAGTTGGGCTAGTTTGGGCACTAGGGTCATGATCCCACTCGCTATAACCCACCTCAGTTGTTCCGAGGGGTTCCTTAGCAAACTTCAGAGAAGTCACTGCCTCCTTTTTTTTTTTTCTTTTTTTTTTTTTGAAGCGGGAGGGTGGCGGGGAACAACCACGGCTCCAATCTATTCGTGGGGACCAGCACATGCTGGGAACTGTGCCCAGCGTCCCATATAGGATCATACAAAACATTGGAAATACCGGGGCCATTACCCGGCTTTGGCTAAGAACAATTTAGGAATCCAAGAATTTAAGAGAATAGAAGTATCATAATCATCATCATCAGGTTAATCAGCATCATCATCACCATCTTCATTAGTATCATCATTAGTATCATCTTTTTTCTGGTGTTCTGGATTTTTGGCAGCATCTAGCCTTCGTACACGTCTGGGGTATAGGAGTTCAGAGATGGTCGAACCCGGACTGATATCCGCAGAGTTGCTCTGTTCTGTGCCCCTGGTTTGCCGATGCCAGAACGACGCTGGCCGGAG